ATTAAATATGAAAATGTTTTATAAATTTTCCATGCTACAAGTTCAACCAGAAGTAATATATTTATAATAATGTTAAAAGAATATAGAATTGAATACGAAAATTCGGAAAATTTGTTTTTACGTGTAGAAGGTAATTGAATTAGAGAATGCTGCTTAACTGCTCAGTTGTCCGGACACTCGTGCGATGCCGCTACCGTCTGACCAAAGGGGTTATAGTCGCTTTGCGTCTGACCGTAACGGTACCCATGCAATCACTCATGAAACGAATGGAAGATACGGATAGTCTTTTAAAATCAATCAAGGGATGAATTAAAATCAATGAATCAAGGGATGGATCATTAGTCTGGATCGGTATGTTATGGCTGTACGGTATGGGGCAGGCGCAGAGAGTGTTTCAGTAGTCTATACAGTAATTTTTTTTTCACATTTTTATTTTTTTTTTCATTTTTGTTTTATTTTTTTATGTTTTTTCACCACTATTTTTTTTGTTTTACTTTTATTTTCAGTTTTTTATATTATTTTTAAATTTTTTTTCCAATTTTACGCGTGACAACGATGGGCCACCATAGACCTCCTTTTCAGAAAAATTTTAAAATTATTCTTAACAATTTATGTGTTGAGTCTCTTTATAAAATTAGCTATTTATTTGCGTTACGTAGTTTCTACGTTGAGAATAATATATCACTTCGAAATGGAATCGTAACTTTCGGAAACGCGAATCCAAAGATATGTCGAATATATGCGATTAGTGTGAGTTGTTTAAATAAAACTAGCCATCCCCTCAGTTGGCATCGAGATTCGCTATTCGGGAGCAATATGCCAGTATATGACTATTCCTTCAACCTTATAAACAAAGTGTACTAATTTAATCCGTAATAATGTATTTTTATTGAAACGCAATATTATATATAATATTTACTATGCCAGTTCTCACTAAAAACGAGTATTATGATGTCAGGTTTTCTGGAACCATGATGATTTATGCCTGTAGCTAAAATTTAGTAATTCACCCAATTAAAAACGCACTCGCTATGTAACATTTGTCAGTTTGTAAGCGACAGTTCCCCAAAACAATCTCGAAGACAGCTTTGAAAACTTTTCAATGATAAAGTATAGGAAGAATCTTCCCGTGGCCATGGCCGACAATACGTCCATTTCAGAGGGGCCTCGCAATTAGCATAGCTTTGTCGTCTAAATCCGGCCCTTATTTAATCCTACCTAGGTTGCCGTCGATCTATGTGTGTACTCCATTGTTGTATTTGAACTGTTAACGCCGACTTCATGCGGTGTGCCTGATCCAACTGTTTTTGGATTGTAGTATGCCCGTGAGCTATGTTTCATGATTTTATTTGTATTTTTTGCTTAAGGCGTCTCCCTGATATCTCGGATAAACATACTTGTTAAAATCCAGCTACTTTGGTGTAGGTACTAAATTGGCGATAAAGCTCCGTGAAAAGAGTGGAACTCGAAGTAAAATTGTCTTTAAAAACTTGAACATTGTATATACCAGTAATTTTCACCAGATAGTGCGGTCTTGTTCCGGGATAAATTTGAAGACCAACGACTACAAAATTATGCTCGATTAGGATATCAATGGTGTAAACGAAGCATCGTTGTCCTGCGCTCTTCTGGAACACAACCATTACTCGGTATTCTGGTATCGATATCACACTAAAATCACAGTAAATACACTAATTAATTCTGACTAGACGATCGAGTTACAACCTCCTTTTCAGAATAGGTCATTCAATCGCTGGCAGCTACAGAGCCGCGTATTTAGGGTCGCACGTAAATCCTTTCATAACTCATAATGTATTGCCAGTAAAAATATAGTGTGGAATAGTGAGCGTCACATCGGTGCTTACAATTATGATAATCAGAAGTAGTTGGAAATATTTAGGATGTAGTAAAGTAAGTCACCAGGAAAAAAATACAGTTTACAAGTCTTTTCCAAAATTCAAAATCTTGCGGTCTATCATATTATACATGGTGTCCGAAAATTCCCTTTTTAATTTCATTATGAGGTCTTTTCTTAATATATCTGAACCTCGTTTGTTTAATCAGTGTTTATCCAAGCTTTTCACTTCGTTTGATAAACTTGTAGCGGTCGAACAAGTTCGTATGGTATCGATAAATACCTTTTCAAACTTGAAATATTTTAATTAATACTTCGTGGACACCCCGTATAACTATGAATTTTCAAGATGAGTTTTGTCGAACGTGTCGCACTTTTACAATTGACTTCAATTTCAGAAAAATCTCAAATATATTCTAATTATTTTTGCGGCGTCGCTTTCAAGAGTAGCTAGTTATTTGCAATATATAGTTTCCACGTTGACAATAAAATAGAACTTTGAGGCCATAACTTTGAGAACGCGAGAAGCTATTGCTTTGCTGAGCGTTGGCGATGAATTTGCGTTGATTGTCTCTCTATTTGCATCGAGACTCGATATTGAAAAGGAATTTAGGCGCATTAATTAAGATGAAACGTTTAGGTACTATCGAAGTATGCGAACCAAGATAGTAGACACCAGAACGTAGTATGTGTACCAGGTTAGGGTTAGGCAATGATTTTATTCCAATTTTCCTCATTTTAGTTCTATAATGAGTTTGAAAAATGGTCTTAGTTCAGTTAACAGTTAATTTTGGCATCTAAGTTTTCATCCAAAGCCTTGAGAAACCATTCAAACATACAATAGCGAATGCGAAGCGTTTTCCCTAAATATTCTACCGTTATAACTGTTCTACCGTTTTACCGTCAAAATTATAGGTGAGGAATAATACTTTTGGACGATATTTTTTTAATTTTTGCTCCCAATAAGGAACTATACAACCAGGCATCAATTTATGAAGTTTCGACATAAATAATCAAAAAATGCATACAGTATGTCGCAAGTAAGCTTTTATAAGAAATTTTTTTAGGTTTAGCGTTTTGAGTTATAGCATAGAACAATGCATAATTAATCAGAGCTTTATAGGGGGGAGGGAAGTTATAAAAGGAAGAAAAAAAGTTAATGAATAGAGCCCGTTGGGAATATGTATAGCACTGCCTATATCTCAATTCGATTCTAAGGAATGAACCCTATATATTTATTTCTTATTTTCAAATACGGCTAATGATGTTTTAGGTTTTGGTTTGATTGTTTCATTCAACGTATTTTCATTCAATAGTTTGGTTTAATTTATCTTGGCATGAACTGACCAAACTGTAGAATTAACAAATCTCAAGAGAAATCTGAAAATGGAGGAAAACAAAGAACCTGAAGCCAAAGATAGTGAAGGTTGGTTTGTTTAAAATTTACACATTTACCCCCGGGAAACGAAAGTTAATAAGACAACTTAATCATGTGGCCAACAACAGCCTCTCGTCCGGTTACCAGCCCATGATGGGCATGGGATTAGTAGTCAAATATTTAATTTCAAATGCATGGACTTGATGGAGGAGAAATGGGTAACCTGGTAACCGACCAGCGTTTTTACGTGAACCAACCACTGCGGCTAAGAGTCCAGCAATCTTCTCGTACATAATTATCCCGAACGGAATTCAAACCCCCGCAGGGGAATCATGGATGCGGTGGCAAACATATTCCTAACGATTAGCACAATGCACTACACCACCGAGCCTCTATGTCCTGTATTTTAATTTATGTTGATTGTCGTGTTTTCTTTCAAACCAGCAACCTCTTGATCAGTATTGCTTCCAGCTACTTGGTTAGTGAGGTTAAAAAGTAGCCAGCATCTGAAAAATTTTTAATCTCTCAAATTTTAACTGGTTCGCCTTTTTGGCATTAACTTATTTTATATCATAAATACATTGAAACATTTTGATTTTCTATATTTATTCTCACTTTACAGAATCGATCAATCTATCCGAAACTATTTTAATGTTTCGGAACAAGAAAATTTCAAACCATGGTGACGTATATGAAGGACAAATATCAAGTGCAACTTATGGAACTCGTCCGATTGCAATAAAATTTGTTCAATACAACAAACAAAGTGTGGAAGAGGCAAAAATTCTTCTCCTTCTGAACCCACACACCCATGTAGTCTCTGTGATACATTCAGACGAATACCAACAAGGTCCAATGAAATATATGTACATTGCAATGGACAAATGTAACCAAGATAACTTGAGAGGTTTTGTGGAAAATCGAAAGAAAGCCGAAATCCAATTTGATCCTGAACTTGCACTTGATTTTGCAAAACAGTTATTTGCTGGAATTTTATACATTCATGATGAACTTGTGGTGCACAAAGATCTTAAGCCTGATAATGTGTTTTTATCCTTGGATCAAAAAGTTGTCAAAATAGGTGATTTTGGCATAAGTGAAGTCATCGAGTCCAAGACACAAACAGTTTACACCAGAAAAGGTCTCGGTACTGACGGTTTCAGACCCCCTGAATCATTTGTGCCTGGATTTCCAACTTCTCAAAAAACTGACATATATTCACTGGCTGTCATTGTTTACTATGTATGGAGTAACGGTAAACATCCCTTTGGTGACGAAAAGGATCTATGGAATCATTTCATGAAAAACCATAAAAACCTGAACCTGGATGGACTTTTAGTTCCAGATGCAGAAGTTGCAAAAGATTTACTGGAATGGATGCTGCAGTTTTTTCCTCGTAAACGTCCAATAATAAACGAGGTTCTCTCTCATAAATACATGGCTCCACCGAATGTAAAAGGTAAGAAAAATTGATTGAAATGTAAATACATGTGTAATTTGACGGTTGGTCAACCAGATGTGCTGGAGATCGGGCCATTGACATATACATTGTAATTTTACTTGCTATTTCTAATCTGCGCGTCGTTAAGTTTGCTATATTTTTTTCATTTTATTTTTCCCTCAATAACTTATAGCTGTGGTTCCCAACCTTTCAGTTATATTATTTTTTTTCCTTGTTTGGAAACGTTTTCTTATAGTAAGGGTTTTTTGAGATATTGCCCTATTGCTAACTGAAATTAAACACTCATCAAAGAAAACTTTCTGTTCAGGTTTACTATTCCGAGATCTACAGGAAGAATCTGCACCTGGCAGGTCTCAAACAAGCATCCCTGACGAACTTTTGCTTCCACATTTTAAAAATGAAACTTTCAAATCAGATTTGCCAACAAAAAAGAAAACTAAAAGGTTTGTGTATTTATTTTGCTGTATTATTTGAATATTACTCATTTGCAGTCTTCCTTCATAAATGTTTCCAACTTGCTTTTGCAAAAAGGCTGAGTTATAATTTTTATCAACGAGGAGAGGTAAGTCGATAAACGGCTTAATCATATGGCATACCACTGCCCCTCGTTCAGTCAGCAGTCCATGTCGGGTATGGGATTAGTTAACCATTTATTTGTTTCAGATGCATGGGCTTTATAGTGGAGGAAGCCATGACCGACCGGTGGTTACATGTTACATGACCCCTATACAGCATTGAGAAGTCAGCAATTTGTTCGTTCTACTCGAATGTTCCTATTTACACATTCCAATAAACTTGGTTTCTAGCTTGCGAATTATCAAACAAGGGTATATATAGGTCGTAGGAAATCGACCCATATTTTATTTTCGCGGTAGCAAATAGAACCCTTGTCTATTGAGCCAGCCATGTTTTGTAATTGTTTTACAAAGTGTGCCTGTCTCACAAATATTTTTCGTGAACAATATATTTTTGATTTACCAAGAATAGTTCCCACTGCAGAAGTATTTTTTCGAATGAGGCAATACCAAATCTAAAATAAACATAATTTCAAAATAAGAATTCTGGTCCCACTTATCCTTGATTAAGCATGTTGTTATGAATATATATTCTCATTGGTATATGTAACATGGCTGTTATCATGCAGGGATGGACCATAGCAATAGGTAATAAAACTTATTCGTAACAATCAAATAACTTTTCCTACAAAAACTAATCAATATAATTTCAGTCATTCTTCACAAGTTGCAACTTCATTATCAAAGCTTGTTAATAATTTCCACTTTGCAAAATATCTTGAAGCCAAAGAAAAGAATAGAAAGGCAGCTTTGACCTCAAAGAGTAAGAAAGTTGACTTCAACATTCCTTGTATTGAAGCATAATAACTTTTTTTTGCGTTCGAATTTGACTCAAAAAACTCTATCGGTTAAGAGTTTCATTGTATAATTTGAAAAAATTTGAATTCAGTAAAGTTTAATTCATGAATTTGCGTATTGACGTAAATGTTCGTGCACCATCAAAAACAAATCTGTGAAAAATGTATTATGTCATTTCGTCTACCGACAGTTAATTAATTGGGTTTGAGCTCATCTTCATAATTAAGTATTGGTTCCAATGTGCCTGCACATACATCGCAGTTATTTGATTCGCTCATTCGATTTATTTGAACACCTAATACAGATACTACATTTTTAACATAAAACAACGAGTGCATGGCTTTAATTTTCAAAATATTGTGGCATTGCAAACTAAAGGTATTAGTGTTTGGCATTCGTATTTCTTCAATTTTTTCTAAATATTATGACATATTAAGCCAAACTAAAAGTGTTTTGAACTTTATACCGTGACCATGCTTAAAATTGTCATTTGACCCATAAGGTTTATTATAAATTGTTTTTTAATTCAAATTATTTTTTTAAATGTGACATTTCCAGATCGCATACAACTCACTGATGACATCTTGTGGTATAAAGACAATGTGGTTCATAAAGGAGTGGATTTCACAGTTTACGAAGGTCAACGGAAACTTCCAAATTCAGTTACAGAACCTTCAGCAATATGGGTGTATTCTTCGCGGAATAAAGGCTTTTTCCACAAACTAAAAGCTCTTCAGCAACTTCCACCTCATTCAAACGTAATCTCTGTTATTGCTAGTGGTCGTTTGATTGAAACAGGTCAAATTTTTGTTGCTACTGAAAGATGCCAGTTCCAAACTCCTGATGAATATTATAGAGAGAGAAAAGAAAACAAAATTTCTTTTGATCCTAGACTTGCTCTCGTACATGCAAAACAGTTAGTTGGTGGTCTACAACATCTGCATAAACATAATATTTCTCATAAAATATTTAAAACCAATATTCTGTTTTCACTTGACATGCAAAATGTGGAAATTTGTTTCAAAACCTCTTTTTCAGGTATTTTCATATATAATCCCAGCTTTGAAGATGATATCATTTACTTGGGTTACATCTTGTATAAATTATGGTCTAATAAACCCATTGACTATTGGCCAGTCTCAGGTTCTACAGTAGCTATGGATCCAAGTGCTTTACTGATTCCTAACCCTCACTTGGCCATTGATTTGATCACAAGAATGATGCACGATGATATAGACCATCGACCAACAATTCAGCAGGTTGTTGATCATGAATTCTGGAAAAGTATCAACATTTAAATTTCTTTTCAATATTTATTTGTCTTGTGCATGTTTTTTTTTTATTTCTACAGACTAAGTCAAGTTTATTTTTTCCAACTAGTAAGAAACAGTTGTATGAAAGTTTTCAAAAAAAATAAACGTTTATTGATCAGAGTGCTGGGTTTAGCCTTTTTGTTTAGACTACTTAGCTCATTTTAATAAATGTTTAACTAATCATGCAAACCACCCCTTGTACCGGTAGTCTTCCCAACTACTTATGGCCCCAAGATCGACCACCTACTATTGGAGGCTTGAAATCGGTGGTCGCGCACTGGTCGTTCGATAGCAGATTCGTCTTCCGACCCCTGGTCGACCCCTGTTCGTAGAAAGCTAATTTAAGCTGCAGCGTGTAGACAAAAATTTCACATCACATTTCGTAAACTTTCTTACAGGCGTTTACCCATTTTTTTTCACTCTAACAACAAGACGAAAAAGTCGCAGTGCAGAAAACTAATATTTGCAGAATCATGAAAATGCAAATAAGAAATTACATCTGTGAAATATATTATATTGTATGTGTACTGTATATATTTCCTGATAACGATCGACGAATACTCGCTTTTCTGAAATTGATGACAGAAAATCTACTTAGTGTCGAAGTTTAATAACAAAATTTGCAAAATAAAAGTAATTTTAAAATCCAAAGTTTCACCTATTCGGTCTTTTTTTGTAAATTTACTATGACGTCATGAAAATGTTTTAGCGTTTGTTTTTGTAAATTTATTTTACATCCATTCAAAGACTCTGGCGACGAAAGGAAAGTTTCTGTGTGTATTGGTTTTAAATTATATATAGTGTCGCGACAGCATCTTTTCGGGTGAGCCACATGCCTAATAAAAATGGCTGAGTATTTGATAATTTAGGTAAACTTTGATCGTAGTAGCAAATAATGATGATGGTGTTTTTGCAACTGAGTGGTAATTCTTATTTCATTAATAAAGTAGAAGTGTCTATCTTCACGAAACTTTATTTTTTATTTTTCTGTAGTTTTCCTCACATAAGTAAGTTTGTGAGCCCCAGAATTATTTACGCAACGGTAGTGAGCCACGGAAGAAAAAGGGATGAGAACCACTGTTCTGAACTATGTAACATAGCAGTGGCCGATTGTGCGAGCCTCGATCAATCGAAATGCGCATTGTATCGCTATAAAAAATGCCGCTTCATTAGGCGGGCTCGTGTTGGATCAGCCAAAGTGAACAAAAGTTGTTTTAGACCAGAGATGCCTCCAGGGCGAGCGTTCATTTTTTTTTGTCCGGGATAAATATTTTTTCCAATATGGAAGATTATAATACAGCTACTAATGTGTACCATATGTGCACCATACTTTCCGAAAACATATCAGCTTTCTTCCCTCCGGGATAAATTTGTGAATCCTATCAAGACTAGTTGTCACATAAACTGGCTTTCAACAGCAAAGGATCAAGCAATCTTAGTGTTCCCAAAATTGAATAACATAGTCTTTTTTAGGTTTAAGCTGTTGATGGGCGCCAGATGCTTTCAGTCACTACTTTGCTCCTGTTTTTTTATTGGCCTTAGCTGCTGCCTTGATTTTTTTCACATTCCCGGCCTTTTTGGTAGTTTCCTTGATGACTCCAACAGCAACAGTCTGTCGCATGTCGCGGACAGCGAAACGACCAAGCGGAGGATAATTCTTGAACGCTTCGACACACATTGGTTTGCTTGGAACAAGTCTGACCATAGCTGCGTCACCAGATTTTAAATATTTTTGATTGAGCTCCCAGTACCTTACCAGATCTTCTGTCCATAGTCATAACAAAGGATCAAGCAATCTTAGTGTTCCCTAAAATTGAATAACATAGTCTTCATATAATTATTTGTCCGGAGCATAAGATATATCACTAGGTTGAGTATGGGATTGTCTGGGGTTATCGGAAAGAAAGTCCTAAACGACTATTAGAACTAAAATTGTATAATTATTTTTATAGTATTACTGGGAGCCGAAAGGATATTATTATCCCTATTCCTACTCACACACACACCCCATTCCTCTGTTTTGCACCGCAATAGTTCATACTCGACTTAGATTGCAGAGGAAATGTTAAACTATCAACAGTTATGTAAATTTACTTGCAATGCCGAACACAGCCAATATTAATTGACATTAAAACTGAGTTAATTTATTTCCTGTTTCAACAGTATACTCGACAATGTCTCGAACAGATATTAATATTACTTATGCTCCATTGAAGCGGAAGAGGGGGTACACAGACTTGACAAAACAATACGGAAAAATTGATTTGAAGACACCTAACCGGTTTGATGAAAAGGAAATTGAACAAAATAGCACAACAAAGGTAATGGAACGATTGTCTTAAACAAGCTATTATTAAAAGATGCAACACTAGTGGAGTACAAAATGTCAATTCATATTTTATTTAACAAAAATCTACTTTATTTCTTATCCAGTGGTTCTCAAACTTTTTATGACGCGCCCGATTTTTATAATTTGTCTCTCGCCCCACCACAATAATAATCAGTTCACGATACATTACAAATAATAGATAGTAAAACGAAAGTAATAAAATAAATAAAGAAATGTAAATATCCGAAATGAGGCGGACAAGATCGAATCTAATAAATATTTTTATTTAAAAGAAGGAGGTGAAGCTATGACGTCATCTGGAGACAGAGACGCAAAGACGAAAGATATTACGTCATATTCGGAGCATCACCACGTAGGGACACATTCTGCCTGTCAAAAAGACTCCGGTGAAGGTTTTAGAGAAAATACAAAAAAAAAATATGAAAAATTTTATAATTTGTGATTTGTGTGGATAGTTGGGGTTGGTAGAATGGAATTGTACATGCGGAGTGGTGAGTATAGATGTTATTAGGTAGAATTAATAGTATAAAACCAGTAATAAGGTGACGTATATATACATTTTTATATTTTTGCGACCATATTATTTTGGAGACTTAGTAGTATAAAAACCAGAGCGAACCAAATGTGTGAATGGCCATGTGAACCAATATGGCGGGAACCAGAACGTAGTATGTGTACCAGGTTAGTATGTGTGCCAAGTGACTCCCAAAGTATTTGTACCTGAAATTATGACTTAGCCTTAACCTGATATACTACGTTCCGGTGTCCGCCATCTTGGTTTACATACTACAGGAGTACCAAAACCATTAGTACTGGGACGTATATATGCATTTATATATGTATGCAACGACGTTATAAACGAGACATAGTAGTATAAAAAGCAGTAATAGGGGGGCGAATATTTATATATGTATGCAAAGACGTTATTAGGGAGACTTGGTCGTATAAAAACCAGTAATAGGAGACGTATATATATATATATACGTCTCCCTAATAACGTCGTTGCAAACATATATAAATGTATATATACGTCCCCCTATTACTGTTTTTCATACCACAACGTCTCCCTAATAAACTCGTTGCATATATATTCGAATATATATATATATATATATATATATACGTCTCCCTAATAACGTCGTTTTTGGATTTGATGAGCCTAAAAAATAAATTAGTTGAGTCTAGTGGGGTATCCAGAGAGGAGGGTATGGGGCGGGTGTTGAATGACGTGTAAATAAGTAAACTCGTTCTTGTATTTTGTTTAAGATTAATTTTAGTTAGACAACCTCAGTAATTGCGTAACTTGCACCGCAGCTAGCTAACGATATACGGCAGGGGTATGCAAGTACTAACGGTCGAGGTGAATTCTACAATTTTCTGAGTGATGGATTTTATGTTTTCAGTAATTTATGTGTCTGGAGGATCCAGGATCCAAGAATCCCAACTACATACCAAACACGAATTATCTAATTTTTCATATTTTTTTTGTATTTTTTCTAAAACCTTTTGGCAGGCAGTATGTGTCTCTTCGTGGTGATGTTCCGAATATGACGTAATATCTTTGGTCTTTGCGTCTCTGTCTCCTGATAACGTCATTACCTCTCCTCCTTTTAAATTAGTTGTTTGTTTATACAATGTAATCTATGACGTCTTGTTTTTGAAATGTCATTCCTACGTAAAGAGCAGTGAAAAAGTTTGTTAGTCGAATTTTTACATTTTTCCGTGAGAAAATAAATCCGGATAAAGAATAGGAGGACATATATATATACATTTATAAGTGTATGCAACGACGTAATTAGGGAGACTTAGTAGTATAAAAACCAGGAATAGAGGGACGTATTTATATATCCATATATGTTTGCAGCGACGTTATTAGGAAGACTCAGTAGTATAAAAACCAGGAATAGGGGGACATATATATACATTTATGTATGCTTTTAGCGCCATTATTTTGGAGACTTAGTAGTATAAAAGCCACGTATATACGTTATATATCCTTTTCGTTCTATCAGGTGTCGATTGGCTAGTTCTTCTTGAGTGTTATGCTTGATTCCTACGACCATTGCCGACTCTCGTTGCTCGCTGCTCTCCGGACTATTCACGCTGTATTCCTCCTGTTACATGAGACTCACTTTTTCTTTGCCATTACTCTGATATCGCCCCTGTAACTCCCTACATGACACTCCTTCATTTTGTGTAAGAGAGCACTGCTTGCCACCTCGCTTGCCCTACCTACCATGCAATCGGCTCACTCATTATTTTTTACCCCATTGTTTTAGCTCTTATATCGATTTGGCTATGCCACCTGCGTCGTCTGCTGCTTGCCTCGTCTCTTGCATGCCATTTGCCTTAATAATCCTATTTAACTTAATAATCCTATTTATTGCCTCATTGTTGACCATATCTATAAAGCCACTTGCTTGATTCTTGCGATCCTCGCCTGCTTTTCGCCCACGGACTCACTTATTACTACTCGCTGTTTCTTTGCTCCTCACCCTGACTGTTTTGCTCGATTCTTACTATATTTACCTATTCTTCTTGCTTTATAACAGTTACATTATTGATTTAACAGTAGACTGACTTGTGTCCCAATAGGAATTCGAACCCACCTCTGTGCACTTTAAACTAATCATACTCTTCAGCGATATCTACTGGAAAATTACCATCATTCATTTCGATAAAAAAACGTTTTGGTTTAAAGATGAAAAGTGTTATTTCGACACATGAACTCGTCACAAGCATTGACGTTTCGTTTATTTAGTTTCGGTTGAAAATGTTGGTTAGCATGCATCATTCAGGATAGGATGGGATATTACCAATTTATTCTGTGTCGAGGAAGACGCTTCTATTGAAAATTTGGTATTAATTTATTGTCGGTTTTACATTTTCACTAAAACTTTATCTTAAATGATAAGACGTTGCAAATTTTGATCTCCAACTTCAAGCAGTGATTTTCGACTCAAGTTTCCACATTCTTGGTAACAACTGTAGCGCCGGATAGGATTTACATATTCATCCTGGGGGACAGGAAAGTCGTTGAGATCGAATATTCACATGGCGAACCACGGACTCTGGTCCGGGTATCAGTCCATGTTGAGTATGGGATTGGTTAGCCACTTATTATTTGTTTCAGATGCATGAACTTTACGGTGGAGGAAGCTCTCGCGCATAATTATCGCCCACAGGACTCGAACCTGCGAATCCACGCAGGGTAATCAGGGGTGCAGTGGCAAGCAATCAAACAGTAATTCATTTTTCCACCATACTAAAGTACACTTCACGAATAAACAATACATAAAAAGAAGAAAAATATTAATTCAGAGTGAACGGAGACGTGGTACAACATTACTGGTTATCGAGCAGCGACACCCGTGATTTTAATTCTAACAGTAATAAATAAATCCAAAAGTGATTAACGTTGACAGTATATAATGAGCATACGTGAAATTGACATCCTAAGAAGATTCCGACTTGAGCACTAGAAAATGCTAAAGCATGCCAAAAGAATTAGGGACTGACATCCGTTGAAAGTATGCCAGAATATTTGGGCACTATAATTCTTTGAGAAAGTCTGAAAGTTTGGAATTTGTTTCAAACTAATATTTGTGTCAGACTTTTGAAAAATAACAAATAAGGCAAGATCTTAACTATATTTAGGATTGAACAAAAGCCACAGCGTGGTAAAATTTTTACTGACAACGCTATGTGGCAATGTAGACAATGAAACGCCCGTTTTCATCATCAAAAAACCTACGTTTCAACAAAATATGATAAAACGTAGAAACACCTAAACATGAGAGATATTGCTTAATTAGTTCCTCAGTCATATAATGTCTGCTCAAATTCCAGGATATGGCGATACAGAGATTCCAACCATTTTCATTTTGCGTAGTGGTGTGGAAATAGCCGGTCTGATACGCCCCCAAGTGTTCAAATGAATGCAAGAGACATTGTCTTCGATGGTTCAAAATAATGGCAAAAAATAAAACTTCCGTTGTTATAACAGATTGTTCGAGCGTTGAGATTACAAGCGACTCAAAAACTTAGTTATTTTAGGTTGCAGTGATTCGAATCCGATCCGTGCATTAGGAATTTAAATAAGTTCGAGTCGTGGATGAACTAAGCATGTATTTGTATTTAATGAATTATCAAATTAACAAAAATCTATTTTGTGTAAAATAAAACAAAAAGTTCTTCCTAAGTTAGACACTGGGTAATGTTGTATACTAGCCTGGTAATATCAGCGTAAAAGATTCAGTGACAGATTTCGGGGGATTTCATATACGCCCGCAATATTTCTCGTCGCTTGATCTCGGTATAGCTTGAATTAAGATGAATAACAAGCAGAAAAATTTTATTTTTTTGTCGGACTTAGACGGAAGCATCGCAAGGCAAAAGATTGATTTTGTGTAAATATTTATTTGATTTCGTTGGTTAAAACTAAAGAAATTTTTATTCACAACACATATTCATGGCACTTACAGCTTTTCTGTTCAATTAGATTTATTTGGCGAAAAGATGGGAATGTTTAACCGATCTTGTATATTAAATTTGAACTGCTAAGTTTCACCTAAGTTAGTAATGAACGAATTAAATAATGGCGATATCAGATAGCTGTACTAAATTTCTCCATAAATGGCAGCTCGTGGGGATGAACCGAGAATACAAAACAGTTTTACAAGGGGGGTTCCACATTTTGCTCCCAATAAGGATGAGAAAAAGCAGATATTGGCCTGAAAAAGGATTATATAAACACGAGAAAGAGTACAATAATACACTTATAACAATGCTTCGACTGTAGCTATAGTTGAAATGTAGAACCACATTTATTTCATGTCTTCTCACAGCATGGCAAATGACAAATAGATGGGATCGTAAATTCGAAAATAGCGAGGGCTTACACGTCTCCCATAAATAGTAATAAAGCGTTCCACGTATTTGCTCAAAACAACACCCAAGACAAACAAACGCGAGGTTATTTTTTATTTGCATTATTACCTCATTGGAGCTCAACAAACACTCGGTACAAACCACTGATACGTTGCCTGTACACGCCAGTAATTTCTACCATATAATACGGTCATGTTGTTTTCAGGTAAATTGAATGCTTAAGCAATTTCATAATATCCTCAATGAGGTGTTTTCGACTTTTGCTCTGAACAGAGAATCAGACATGAGTAGAATATGCAGGTTTAGCGATAGAAGGGGCACTGACCAATTTATTACGCGCTTTATTATAGCTCAGATTTAGAACAAGGACAAGAAAAGCGAGCGAAACCAGAAACGTAATGAATCGAGCACATTAGGAATTGTGAATTTATAAAATCCTTTCCTAAACCTGTACAGCAAAAGTCAGTTTTGACTCTTGTTTTGAATTTCTTCTTCCAGTAGTTTGTTTTCCATTTAACTTGGTTTGAATTGAACAAGCTGTAGAATTAACAAATTTGAGTGAAATCTGAAAATGGAGCGAAGTAAACAACCCGCGACTCCTGTTAAGTCAGCATTGTTATGCAAGCGCGCCGTTACATAATCCAATCTATTTTTTGAAATCGTTGGGTTTATTTTTTTCACTAGTTTTAATGTTTGTGTTTAGATTCTTAAGTCTAGACAAGTAGAATAATTATAGTACTTTGTGTGAAATTGGTACATTCTGTGCGACCTATAAAATATTTGCGAAACACTTAAACGATGTTTGTTCACCCCAATAATTTTCATCACATAATAAGGTCTTTTTGTAAAGTAAATTGAAAAACAAGTAAAAAGTTATTCTTAATTAGGATATGATCATTCAGACCATATTCATTTTCATCTTCGGAACTTCACCATTACTTGGTATTCTAGTGTCGATATCACACTACAATCACAGTAAATTCACCATCTTGTTTTGTCCAAAAGTTTGAGCAATTCATTCTCTTCGCTACTGTTTAGTCAAGCGCTAGAAGGTACTTAGTGTGTATTTAGGTGCAACGTAAGGAGGCAGGCACGAGTTTATGACCTTTTGATAAACCAAACTAAGACGTGTATAACCAAACTACATAAATTCCACACGTTTTGCACAGAATATGGCATTAGACAAGCAGTCGTGGGTGTCAGGAGCAATTGAGGACATAAGATTTTGCTTTAATCGAAAATATTTGCACAAGGAATGAAATACAGTGAAGTTTCTTTGAAAATGCATGTATTAAGCATTGCTATTTCATGCTAACATTAACTTTCATTTCGATCGTAATATATCTCATTGGGTATAAAGCAAAACAAAAAAAAAATACTGTTAATGGTATTGGTTCAACGCATTTAAAATTTCTATAACTTGTGCGGTAACGAAGCCACACATGTGAACTGTTATGGAAAGCCTTGGTGGAACAACAAAGCATGCAATCGAGGAAAGTTGTGATGAACCACCAGCTAAGATCAGATGTACGGAAACCAACTTAACGAATACAGGTAAGACCTACTATGTCTGGTGAGGAACGAGTTATAACTTTATTAAGATCTTACAAACTGATGATAGAGATGATAGTGGCGTACTTAGTTTATATTTATTTTTGATGAACCTATGAATATAAAAATAATATTGCAAGTCTAATTTGATATAACTATGCTTTAATTTGATGTTAAAAGAAATTAAACAATCATTTTCTCCTATTTGTATATTAATACTTTAAACTCATAACTTAAATATCACAGTCTTAAACTCTTTAATGCCACATTGTGGTCAAATGGTCTGTTGGGCGGAAATCTGTAAACCTTATCAAATTTTGTTTTTTCAGATTCGATCAAACTTTCCGATTCTATTTTGCTGTTTCGAGATAAAAAAATTTCGAACCATGGCGATGTATATGAAGGAGAAATATCGAGTGCAATTTATGGAACTCGTCCGATTGCGATAAAATTAGTTCAATACAACAAACAAAGTGTGGAAGAGGCAAAAATTCTTTACCGACTGAACCCTAGCACTCATGTAGTCTCTGTGATTCATTCAGATGAATACCAACAAGGTCCAATGAAATATATGTACATTGCAATGGACAAATGTAACCAAGACAACTTGAGAGGTTTTGTTGAAAATCGAAAGAAAACCGAAATCCCATTCGATCCTGAAATTGCACTTGATTTTGCAAAACAGTTATTTGCTGGAATTTTATACATTCATGATAAACTTGTGGTGCACAAAGATCTTAAGCCTGATAATGTATTTTTATCCCTGGATCAAAAAGTTGTCAAAATTGGTGATTTTGGCATAAGTGAAGTCATCGAGTCAAAGACTCAAACAGTTTACACCAGAAAAGGTCTCGGTACTGACGGTTACAGACCCCCTGAATCATTTGTGCCTGGATTTCCAACTTCCCAAAAAACTGACATATATTCACTGGCTGTCATTGTTTACTATGTATGGAGTGACGGTAAACATCCCTTTGGTGACGAAAGGGATCTATGGAATCATTTCATGAAAAACCATAAAAACCTGAACCTAGATGAACTTTTAGTTCCAGACAAAGAAGTTGCAAAAGATTTACTGGAATGGATGCTGCAGTTTGTTCCTCGTAAACGTCCAATAATAAACGAGGTTCTCTCTCATAAATATATGGCTTCAACAAACGTAAAAGGTAGGAAAAAATAATATTTGAGATATTGTGATTGCTAACTGAAAGTTAACACTTATCAAAGAAAACTCTCTGTTCAGGTTTACTATTCCGAGATCTACAGGAAGAATCTACACCTGTCAGCTCTCTAACGAGCAGTCATGATAAACTTTTGCTTCCACATTTTGAGAATGAAACTTTTAAATCAGATTTGTCAACAAGAAAGAAAACTAAAATGTTTGTATACTTAGCCTGTATATTGATTTATTATATCTTACAAATATTTTTTTGTGGACAATATATTTTATTTTAAAATTACCAAGATTAATTCCCAGGAGTATTTTTATTGACTAAGGCGACTGTTTATCTAAAACAAACTGCAAAATAACATAATTTTCCTGTCCTAGATTGAGCAGGAGGCTATAAATGTTTTTTGTTGGTGTGTTTAACATGACTAATATCATGCAGGAATTAACCTTAGCAATAGATGAATAGAATATTATTATTGGCTGTTGTAGTCAAATAATTTTTTCAACTAAAACTAGCCAATCATAATTTCAGTCATTCTTCACAAGTTGCAACTTCATTATCAAAGCTCGTTAATAATTTCCACTTTGTAAAATATCTTAAAGAACAAGCAAAGAATAGGAAGGCAGCTTCGACCTCCGTAGGTAAGATAAGTTTATTTTAACAATGCTTGTATTTTTACTCAACATTTAATTTCCGGGTGTTTTGTATCCGATTTACCACAAAAAAACTATCTTGGATAAGAAATGATGTTATGTTTGCTCAAAATTTTTTTGAATTAATAATTCTGCCATCATGTACCATCATGTACCATCATGTACCGCTGTAACTAAAATGAAAAAAAAAGCAAAATTAAATAATACAGAAAATATTTTAAAGTACTAAAATTGACAATACCTTTAAGAGACGGATTCTTGCACAAAATATCTTATCTTGGTCTTCGTACTGGTTTCATCTTTGATCAATATTTTGGTTTTAACATGAGGTAGTGTCGGAAAAGTTTTGCCACAACCCCAATTTTGCGCTCCCACGTTGACCCCTAGTTTGAAAAGTCCAGATTTAAACTACAGTAATATTTATTTTGTAAATCACTTAACTATTTTCTCCTTCAGATCAAGTTTTGTGTTTAATTTTCTTCTAAAAATATGACATTTTAGATCGCATACATCTCACTGATGATATCTTGTGGTATAAAGACAATGTGGTTTATGAATTTTCGGATTTCACAGTTTACGAAGGTCAACGGAAACTTCCGAATTCAGAGACAGAACCTTTAGCAATATGGGTGTTTTCTTCGTGGGATGCAGACTTTCTTTACAAACTAGAAGCTCTTCAGCAACTTCCACCTCACCCAAACCTAATCTCTGTTATGACTAGTGGTCGTGTGAATGGAACAAGTCAACATTTTATTGCTACTGAAAGATGCCAGTTCCAAACTCTTCATGAATATTATAAAGAGAGGGAAAAAAACAATATTCCTTTTGATCCTAGACTTGCTCTCGTACATGCAAAACAATTAGTTAGTGGTCTACAACATCTTCATAAATATAATATTGTTCATGGGGAAATGGAGGGGAGTATTCTTTTTTCACATGACATGCAAAATGTGAAATTTAGTTTTCAGAACTATTTTATACCATATTACTCCTATGGATATAATCTCAGTATAAGTGATATTATTACCTTAGGGTATAACTTGTATAAATTATGGTCCAATCAACAGGAAATTCGTGTTTTTTATTATTCCTTTTCGCTTGCTTTTGATCCCAGTATTCTACTTATTCCTAACCTTCACTTGGCTGGTGATTTGCTCACAAGAATGACACACGATGATGGAGACCAACTAATAACAATTCAGCAGGTTATTGATCATGAATTCTGGAAAAGTATCAACATTTAGTTTTTCTTTTCATTATTTATTTGTCTTGTGCATGTTTTTTTTTTATATTACCAAGTAGTATAAAAACCAGTAATAGGGGGGGCGTATATATACATTTACATATGTATGCAACGACGTTATTAGGGAGACATAGTAGTATAAAAACCAGTTATAGAGGGGCGTATATATACATTTACATATGTATGCAACGACGTTATTAGGGAGACATAGTAGTATAAAAATCAGTAATAAAGGGATGCATATATGCATTTATATATGTATGCAACGACGTTATTAGGGAGACTTAGTAATATAAAAACCAGTAATAGGGGCGTATGTATACATTTATATATGTATGCAACAAACTTATTAGGGAGACTTGTAGTCTAAAAAACAGTAATAACGGGACGTATATATACATATATAAATGTATGCAACAAATTTATTAGGGAGACTTAGTGTTATGAAAACCAGTAATAGGGGGACGCATATAAACATTTATATAAGTATGCATCAAACTCATTATGAAGACTCGGTAGTATAAAAACTAGTGATAAGGGGACCCATATATACATTTATAAATGTATGCAACAAACTTATTAGGGAGACTTAGTATTATAAAAACTAGTAATAAGGGGACTCATATATACATTTATATATGCATGCAACAAACTTATTATGAAGACTCGGTAGTATAAAAACTAGTGATAAGGGGACGCATATATACATTTATAAATGTATGCAACAAACTTATTAGGGAGACTTAGTATTATAAAAACTAGTAATAAGGGGACTCATATATACATATATATATGTATGCAACAAACTTATTAGGGAGACTTGGTAGTACAAAAGCCAGTAATAGGGGGACGTATGTATACATTTATATATGTATGCAACAAACTTATTAGGAAGACTTGGTAGTATAAAACCAGTGATAAGGGGACGCATATATACATTTATAAATGTATGCAACAAACTTATTAGGGAGACTTAGTATTATAAAAACTAGTAATAAGGGGACTCATATATACATATATATATGTATGCAACAAACTTATTAGGGAGACTTGGTAGTACAAAAGCCAGTAATAGGGGGACGTATGTATACATTTATATATGTATGCAACAAACTTATTAGGAAGACTCGGTAGTATAAAACCAGTGATAAGGGGACGCATATATACATTTATAAATGTATGCAACAAACTTATTAGGGAGACTTAGTATTATAAAAACTAGTAATAAGGGGACTCATATATACATATATATATGTATGCAACAAACTTATTAGGGAGACTTGGTAGTACAAAAGCCAGTAATAGGGGGACGTATGTATACATTTATATATGTATGCAACAAACTTATTAGGAAGACTTGGTAGTATAAAACCAGTGATAAGGGGACGCATATATACATTTATAAATGTATGCAACAAACTTATTAGGGAGACTTAGTATTATAAAAACTAGTAATAAGGGAACTCATATATACATATATAAATATATATATGCAGCAAACTTATTAGGGAGACTTTGTAGTATAAAAGCCATTAATAGTGGGAAGTATGTATACATTTATATATGTACGCAACGACGTTATTAGGAAGACTTAGTAGTATAAAAGCCAATAATAGAGTGCGTATAGGGTATTTACACATTGATATATGCAACGAAAATAATAAGGAGATTTAGTAGTATAAAAACACTAACAGAGAGACGTATATATACATTTATACGTGTTTAGTGTTTCAAATCTAAAGTATAAAAAAGTAGAATATATACGGTACTTTGTGTTAAATTGTTGCACTCTTTGCAACCCCTAAAACTTGTTTCACCCGTACCCTCCATGCGGTATCCCCCCCCCCCCCCCCCCACCCCCAGTGTGGGAATATTTTTTGAATTTGTTGGTTAATGAAATCTATATTAACAACACGTATTTTTTACGCTTTAGTTTTCCCTGTTCAACTAGATATATTTGGCGAAGAGATGGAAATGGTCGACCTATCTTGTATATTTAATTTCAACTGCTAAGTTTCACCCTGAGCTAAGTTGGTAATGAACCACTCTAATAATGGCGATATCATTTAGCTTTACTAATTTTTTTTTAAAAGTAGCGGGATCTTGGAGATGAACCACGAATAATAAAACAGTTTTGCAAACGGGGTATCAATATTTTTCTCCGAATAAAGATGTGGAAAAGCAGATATACCTATTTATTTAATATAAACATAAGAAATAGTACAATACCCTTATAGCAACGCTTCGGCTGTAGCCATCGGTGAAATGTAGAACCACATTTATTTCAAGTCTTCTTACAGCCAAGCAATGGACAAGTGGGCGTGAGCGTGTAAATTAAAAAATAGCGAGGGCTGTAGTATAGCATCACACGTCTTCCATAAAGAATCATAAAGAGTTCTACATATTTTATTAAATCAACAACCAAGACAAACAAAACGCAAGGTTACTTTTTATTTGAATCATTACCTCATAAGCGCTCAACAAACGATCGGTACGAAGCACTGATACAATGTCTGTACACGCCTGTTTGAAACCTCACCACATAATTCGGTCTTGTTGTTTTGAGGTAAATTGAATGATTGAGATATTTCAAAATTTCCTCAATTAGGAATATGATTATTTAGACTAATTCATTTTCATTCGACATACAAAGCAATGTTGCTGGTACTTTACCATCACTTGGTATTCTGGTAACTATATCACACTAAAATCACAGTGAATTTACCAATTTGTTTTGCCAGAAAGTTTAATCTATAACTTCTCATCTTCGCTGATGTTTATTCTGAGATACTGGTCTAAGTATTTTAGTTCATACGTAAATCCAACCGTAACGCATAATTACAGTCGGTATTTACCTCTCATGCGGTATAGTTTATAACAGGGGTGGGCACAATTTTTTAGTATAAGAGCCGCACGCTGCAAGTCAGAACTTTAAAAGAGCCGCAGAATTTGTGAATTTATTAATATTATCGAAATACTATGAACAGAAAAAAAATTCACACAAGAATCTAATACCAATAAATAGATAAACAAGGCAACTATGTTTTCATCTTCGTACTTTCGTTTTTTTTTTAATTTTGGACACATCGCACAGTAACTTAGCTTAGACTAACTAACCGCAATCAAGCTGCAATATCGCCGACGCATCAATAAACATTGACCATTGTGACGAAAGATTTGCTGACTCGACTGACTTAAATTCAACGTTACAGCGATTTTCGTACTAAAACATAATTTGTCCTAATTATTGACGAAAACTTCTTTACGACTTTTATTAAATTAAAAGAGTTTACGTTAAAGTTTTTCTCTTAGTTAAAATTTGAATAATAATTTATGTTAGTGAGAAGAGCCGCACAAAAAGTCTGGCGAGCCGCGGTGTGCCCACCCCTGATTTATAAGTAATACAATTTTGTAAGCTAAGTTTTCTAGAGTCTAAGTTAATATTTTAAAATTTATTTCAAATCAGGCAATATTGGAAATATTCTTCATGAGGTGTTTTAGACTTTTGCTGTGAACAAAGTAGCAGACATGAGTGGAATATGTAGGTTTAGCGATGGAAGTAGCAAGGACAAATTTACTAAGCGCTTTGTTATAGCTTGGCAATGCCGACGTAAAGGAGCAGGAAGAGGAACTCAATGAATTGATAACATTATGAATTATGAATTCATATATATACCTGTAGAGCAAAATTCTGGTTCAACCTTTCATATCGTTCCTACTTTTTGAAGACATGTATTGAAATTTCAACTTTTGTTTTGATAAATTTGAGAGAAATCTGAAAATGGAGGAAACTAAAGAACCCGCGACCCCTGTTAAATCAGCATTGTTATGCAGGCGCGTCGCTACTTTGATCATATGTATTCTCTTGAAATCGTGAGATTGAGATTTATGTTTTGCACTAATTTAATGTCCATAAAAGTAGAATAGAAATAGTACTTTGTATGAAAATGGTGCACTCTTTTCAACCTATAAAATTGGTTGCGAAACACTAAAACGATTTATGTTCACACCAATAATTTTCTTCCCATTACACGGTCGTTTCGCAAAGAAAATTGAAAAACAATGACTCTTCGATACTCCAGAAGTATGTGGACCAAGATGGCGGACAGTGCAACGTATTAAGGCTAGCTAGGCCATAACTACAGGTACAAATACTACAGGAGGCACTTGGCTAGTCCCCGAACTCGTAATAGAACAAAAATAAGAAAAATTGAAATAAAAGTATGCACTAACCTGGTACACTTAGTACGTTACGGTGCCCGCCTTCTTGTTACACAAACTTCCGAATAGCCGATTATTCAGACTATACTCATTTTCCCCGATATACAAAGCAATGTTTACCATCACGTGTATCGATTAAAATTAAAATTTGTAAGCTAAGTTTTTAGAGCCTAAGAGCATGGAAAATTACGAATATTTTCCATGAGTTTTTTAGACTTATTCCCCGATCAGCAACTAGGAAGACAGACACGAGTTAACTTTTTATTAACCTAACTAAGACGTGTAACTATATATTAAAATTAGGTAGATTCCACATAATTTCCATGGAATATGGCATTAGACAGGAAGTCAGAGGAGTAAATATGTAGATTTAGCAATGTGATGGCCCAATTTGTTTTCTAACACGATTTATATCAGCGAACATGGCTGAGTAAAGGCAGCGAGAACAGAAATTCAATGAAACAAGCACATTTTAAACTTTGAGTTTATATAACCCTCATCTAAACCTGTCAGTTTTGAACCTTTCATATCGCTTCTCCTTTTTTAGACGGCTAGTAAAATTTCAACTTTTGTTTTGAAATATTCCGGTTTGAACTGGCCAAACTGTAGAGTTATAAAATTTGAGAGAAATCTGAAAATGCGGGACAATAAAAAACTTGCGACCTCTGTTAAATCAGCATTGTTATGCAAGAGCGCCGCTTCTCTGATCCTATGTATTCTTTCTAAATCGTGAGATTTATGTTTTTCATTAGTTTTAATAATTGTGTTTCGAATCTCAAGTCTATAAAACTAGAATAGTTATAGTACTTTGAGTAGAATTGGTGCACTTTTTGCGACCTATAAAACTTGTTGCAAAACACTTAAACAATATTTGTTCACACCAATAATTTTCATCACATAATACGGTCTTTTTGCAAAGTAAATTGAAAATCAATTGAAAAGTTATTCTCAATTAAGATCTGATTATTCAAACTAATTCATTTTCATCCGACATACAAAGCAAGGTTGCTGAAACTTTACCATCACTTGGTATCCTGGTATCGATTCCACACAATTACAGTAAATTTACCGATTTGTTTTGCCCAAAGTTTAATCTATAACTTCTCCTCTCCGCGTATGTTTATTCTGAGATACTGGGCTGTGTACTTACGTTCGTACGTAAATCCTACCGTAACGCATAATTACAGTCGTTACGGAACATACTGTGGAAAAAAACACGTGTAATATCGCTGCTCTCTAGAGTGAATTCCAGGAGCAAAAAATTTATGGTTGTGCCCTTTCGTGTTGCATAACTAATAAGAGATAAAAGTTGTTTCTCATAGCCTAACAGCTTACTTCAAAACTTATTTTAAAACAGGCAATATTGGAATATTCTTCATGAGGTGTTTTGCGACGAACAAAGAAGCGAACATCAGTTGAATATGTAGGTTTAGCGATGGAAGGAACACGGGTCAAACTTATTACGCGCTTTGTTATAGCTTAGAACAGTGTTTCCCAACCCGAGTCCGCGGTCTCAAATAAGTCCGCGGAGCGTTTAAATGAGTCCGCTTCGAGCCATAAATTCACTGCGGGTCGCAAACGTTTTTGGTAAACTTAACCATCAGCCAAGTTACGTTGGGATTTACATCAAACATTAAAACCAAGTTTATTCAAGTTTAATCGAGTCAATAATTACTGGTTACTGAGTAGGGCTGGGCTTATATTCGAATACATACAAACTATTAAAATAGCAATTTACTATTCGAAAATTTGGTAACAGGTGACGCGACAGGTCACTTGCGCGTCGCTTAATCAAACGATTGGATTACACAACTCACATCGATGAAAACACGAGTCGGCCAGCACAAGCGTGGATATTACCCGAGTGGTGTTTCTCGCGAGCTCGAATAATGAGGAATAATTTTTTTTTTCTGGTAGGTGTCTAACGGCGATAACAGATACGCAAGATCGCAAAAAAATATTTATCAAAGCTAAATATAATCGGGCAATATATTCTCATATTAATATGTTCGCAGATTGCCGTGGCATTTCAAAGAAGTAATGCTTTCATCTTGTCATAAGTAGACGCAACCGCGAGTGACCATGAACATAATTAAATTAAAATAGAAACACATTTTGAATTCTCGTTGTTGTCATGGATTGAATATTGTGCGATAGAAATGGCCATTCATACACTAAAAAAAGTCGGCTCTTTTAACAAACGTGCAATTGCGGCGAATCCATTTTCCCATTTTGAAATTCGTTAAAATTCTGTTGTATTTCGTTTCATTACTTCTTCACACAGATTACGGTTGTAAAAAACGCACGTTGAGTCCGCAAAGGTTTTCGCCGGTGAGAAAATAGTCCGCGAACAAAAAAGGTTGGGGAACGCTGGCTTAGAACAAGGCTGGGATAAGGGAGGAACATGAACACAGAAAACCGCGCCCATCATGAAATTATATAACATCATCTAAATATGTATAGCAAAAGTCACTTTTAACCAAACATATCATTCCAGCTTTTGTATGACGGCTAGTGAAATTTCAACCTTTTTTCTCCTAGTAGTTAAATTTAATTTAGTTTAATTTACTTTGGTTGGAATTGTCAAATATGAGAAAAGTCTGATAATGGAGGAAAATAAAGAAAGTGAATCTGAAGATAGTGAAGGTTGGTTTGTATTTTTATTTCTTGCTTCCAATTGCCCCGTGTAGTTTTGAACAAGCAACCTTTCGATCACTATTGGGTGCTTCTAGCTACTTGGTTAGTGATCTGCTTGGCAATAATTTATTTTATATCATAAATATATTGAATCTTTTTATTTTCTATTTTATTCTCCCTTTTCAGACTCAATTAAACTCTCCGATTCTATTTTGATGTTTCGGAATAGAAAAATTTCAAACCATGGTGACGTATATGAAGGAGAAATATCGAGTGCAACTTATGGAACTCGTCCGATTGCAATAAAATTTGTTGAATACAACAAACAAAGTGCGGAAGAGGCAAAAATTCTTTATCGACTGAACCCTCACACTCATGTAGTCTCTGTGATTCATTCAGATGAATACCAACAAGGTCCAATGAAGTATATGTACATTGCAATGGACAAATATAACCAAGATAACTTGAGAGGTTTTGTGGAAAATCGAAAGAAAGCCGAAATCCCGTTCGATCCTGAACTTGCACTTGATTTTGCGAAACAGTTATTTGCTGGAATTTTATACATCCATGATAAATTAGTGGTGCACAAAGATCTCAAGCCCGATAATGTATTTTTATCCCTGGATCAAAAAGTTGTCAAAATTGGTGATTTTGGCATAAGTGAAGTCATCGAGTCAAAGACACAAACAGTTTACACTAAAAAAGGCCTCGGTACTGACGGTTACAGACCCCCTGAATCATTTGTGCCTGGATTTCCAACTTCCCAAAAAACTGACATATATTCACTGGCTGTCATTGTTTACTATGTATGGAGTGACGGTAAACATCCCTTTGGTGACGAAAGGGATCTATGGAATCATTTCATGAAAAACCATAAAAATCTGGACCTGGATGGACTTTTAGTTCCAGAAAAAGAAGTTGCAAAAGATTTACTGGAATGGATGCTGCAGTTTGTTCCTCGTAAACGTCCAATGATAAACGAGGTTTTTTCTCATAAATATATGGCTCCACCGAATGTAAAAGGTAAAAAGAATTGTTTGAAATGTAAATACATGGGTATTTTGATAGTCAACTAGATGTGCTGGGGATCGGGACATTGACATATACATTGTAATTTAACTGCTATTTCTAATCTGCGCGTCGTGAAGTTTGCTATATTTTTTTTCATTTTATTTTAACTTATAGCTGTGGTTCCCAACCTTTTAGTTATATTTTTTTTCCTGTGTTTGGAAACGTTTTCTTATAGTAAGGGGTTTTAGAGATATTGCCCTATTGCTAACGGAAATTAAACACTCATCAAAGAAAACTTTGTGTTAAGGTTTACTATTCCGAGATCTACAAGAAGAATTTGCACCTGGCAGGTCTCAAACAAGCATCCATGATGAACTTTTGCTTCCACATTTTAAAAATGGAACTTTCAAATCAGATTTGCCAACAAAAAAGAAAACTAAAAGGTTTGTGTATTTACTTTGCTGTATTATTTGATTATTACTCATTTGCAGTCTTCCTTCATAAATGTTCCCAATTTGCTTTTGCAAAAAGGCTGAGTTATAATTTTTATCACGGGGTAGAGGTAAGTCAAAAAACGGCTTAATCATATGGCATACCACTGCCTCTCGTTCAGTTAGCAGTCCATGTCGGGTATGGGATTAGTTAACCATTTATTTGTTTCAGATGCATGGGCTTTATAGTGGAGAAAGCCATGACCGACCGGTGGTTGCATGTTACATGACCCCTATACAGCATTGGAAAGTCAGCAATTTGTTCGTTCTACTCGAATGTTCCTATTTACGCATTCCAATAAACTTGGTTTCTAGCGTGCGAATTATCAAACAAGGGTATATATAGGTCGTAGGAAATCGACCCATATTTTATTTTCGCGGTAGCAAATAGAACCCTTGTCTATTAAGCCAGCCATGTTTTGTAATTGTTTCACAAATTGTGGCTGTCTCACAGATATTTTTCGTGAACAATATATTATAGATTTACCAAGAATAGTTCCCACTGCAGAAGTATTTTTTCGAATGAGGCAATACCAAATCTAAAATAAACATAAATTTAAAATGAGAATCCTGGTCACACTTATCCTTGATTAAGCATGTTGTTATGAATATATATTCTCGTTGGCATATGTAACATGGCTGTTATCATGCAAGGATATACCGTAGCAATAGGTTATTAAAACTTATTAACAATCAAATAACTTTTCCTACAAAAACTAATCAATCTAATTTCAGTCATTCTTCACAAGTTGCAACTTCATTATCAAAGCTTGTTAATAATTTCCACTTTGCAAAATACCTTGAAGCCAAAGAAAGGAATAGAAAGGCAGCTTTGAACTCAAAAAGTAAGAAAGGTTTATTTCAACATTCTTTGTATTGAAACATATTCACTTTTTTTTTGAATTTGAATTTAACTCAAAAAACTCTATCGGTTAAGAGTTACATTGTATAATTTGAATTCAGTAAAGTTTAATTCATGAATTTGCGTATTACCGTAAATGTTCGTGCACCACCAAAAACAAATCTGTGAAAAAGTGTATTATGTCATTTGGTCTACCGACAGTTAATTAGTTGGGTTTGAGCTTTTCCTCGTAATTAAGTATTGGTTCCAAAGTGCCTGCACATACACCGCAATTATTTGATTCGCTCATTCGATTTATTTGAACACCTAATACGGATACTACATTTTTAACATAAAACAATGAGTGCATGGCATTAATTTTCAAAATATAGTGGCATTGCAAACTAAAGGTTTTAGTGCTTAGCATTCGTATTTATTCAATTTTTTCTAAATATTATGACATACTGTGCCAAACTAAGAGTGTTTTGAACTTTATACTTACCGTGACCATGCTTAAAATTGTCATTTGACCCACAAGGTTTATTATAAATTGTTTTTTAATTCAAATTAATTTTTTAAATGTGACATTTCCAGATCGTATACAACTCACTGATGACATCTTGTTGTATAAAGACAATGTGGTTTATAAAGAATTTGCTTCCACAGTTTACGAAGGTCAACGGAAACTTTCAAATTCAGTTACAGAACCTTTAGCAATATGGGTGTATCCTTGGTTCATTGAAGAATGTCCTCAAGGAGTAAAAGCTCTTCAGCAACTTCCACCTCATCCAAACGTAATCTCTGTTATTGCTAGTGGTCGTTTGATTGAAACAGGTCAAATTTTTGTTGCTACTGAAAGATTCCAGTTCCAAACTCTTGATGATTATTATAAAGAGAGAAATAAAAACAAAATACCTTTTGATCCTAGACTTGCTCTCATACATGCAAAACAGATAGTTAGTGGTCTACAACATTTGCATGAACATAATATTTCTCATGTAATATTTGAAACCGATATTCTGTTTTCACTTGACATGCCAAATGTGAAAATTTGTTTCAAGACCTATTTTTTAGGTCTTTTCATATATGATCCCAGCTTTAAAGATCATATTTTATCCTTGGGTCACATCTTGTATGAATTATGGTCGAATAAACTGATTGAACAAAGGCCATTCCTTAAGTCTAGAGTACCTATGGATTCAAGTGCTTTACTGATTCCTAACCCTCACTTGGCCTGTGATTTGCTCTCAAGAATGGCAAACGATGATGAAGACCAACGACCAACAATTCAGCAGATTGTTGATCATAAATTCTGGGAAAGTATCAACATTTAAATTTCTTTTCATTATTTATTTGTTTTTTGCATGTTTTTTTGTTTATACAGACTAAGTCAAGTTTATTTTTTCCAACTAGTAAGAAACAGTATGGAAGTTTTGAAAAAAAAAGTTTTTTAATCAGAGTGATGAGTATAGCCACTTTTGTTTAGATCAGTGATTCCCAGAGTGGGAGATATCGCCCCCCGGTGGGCGAAAACGATACAGAGGGGGGAGGGATTGGGCGAAGAAGCCGAAAGGGGCGATAGGCAGGCGATTTCGTGAAACCTGTTTTTGGTCGGCGCATCGTGCACTTGATTGCTGTACTCTGCGTGCTTTCGTAGATTTGAATCACGTGGGCGATGTCACACGCGGGAGGATTGCTGGACTCGTCTTCGCAGTAAGGTACTGTGGTTTGCGTAACCAAGTGATCGGGAAATCTTTAGTGATCCGGCCCGGGACGCTTCATTGTATAGATCTTTTCCCGACCTTTGACCCCGACCATTTTCCCCATTCTAAAATGTTCAGTGTTTATTTTGAGAGTGGTTTCGCGAGTTGTTGCCTATAAAATGAAGTATTTATTTCAAACTAACATTCTGATTCATACCATTCAACAATCTGCTTTTTAAAAGTACCGATAAAGAATTTTAGCCCAGTCTATCACAGCTATTTCTACACTAATTTTTGATTACTGTAATTAAACTGAAACTCCTAGGAGGACAAGGTGTCACATTGACTCATTTTATTTAAATTTCCGAAAAACAACTAAAAACTAACGAATATAATTCAAAATCGCGAAAATTAGGTAATGTTCACGACCACGCATGAAAGTCTGTCTGAGTGAGGAATGTGTCTGAGCGGATGCGAAAGGGGGCATCGTTACGTTTATTTTTGCATCTTGCTGGTAAACATCCAATCAGCGGTAATCTTATTTATTATCTACTGTCGAGGATTAAATTACACATTTTATCGTGAGACACGTTTAGACTAAATTTTATTATATCCTAAAAACCATATTGAACAGCTACTCGCACAACGAGCCTACAATTTAAATATAATTAGACAATTGGAAACACGCAGTAAAGTTGATGTTATTGCAATGCAATAAGGAAATCAAATTCATATTTTATTCGAGAGATTCATCACTGCTTAATTTTTTTTAAGAATGTATCTTCTTAAAGAAAATCTTTATCAAAATTTCACAAACCATGCAAAAATATTCACTTCGATGTTTGGAAGTACATATTTGTGCGAACAATTATTTTTGAAAATGAACATTACAAAGAACAAGCAAAGAACTAGGATTAGTGATGCTCATTCAGAAAATCTTCCAATCTTGGCGTCACATTAAATGTCATTGTAATAATTTTTTAATAAGACGACTGAGTGGAGTTCACGAATTGTCGCAGTTTTTGCACGATGTTCCGTTTTTAACATTCAAAAAATATATGCGATCCGCAAAAGAATAGCAACCCTAAATTTTGTCCCACGAGCGACTTGAAATTTGCCGACCCCTGAGCCATCCAAGTCCACGAATCCAAAACAAATGGCTGATTGATTCTATGGACTGGTGATCGGACTGGAGGACGTGGTAGGATGAGGAATGGGGGAAGGATTTTACCGAAGACCGTTATATATCATGTATTTCGGTGAAGGTCATCAGGCTGTAGGGATAAATGAGATGTACCTAAATCATTATTGCAGGTTTTGAAAAATTAATTTTGTTTTCATTATTTTAATGTGAAACGGGGTGAATTTAGGGAGTTAAATGGTATAAGGCAAGAGTACACGGCGGTTTTTGAGAAGGTAGAACCCCGGATTCTTTCATTTCCGACCTCTGATATGGTGAAAAAGTGGTTTTCAGCCTTGACACTATCAAAACAACTAAATCGCCTTTCCATTAGTAAAACGGGGTAATCTTAGATATAATAAGAAACTCGCTGAAGAACACCAAGCTCATCCATCTCAAAAACACTATAAACTATGATTTGTCTCCGTAATTGGTCTGTAATATATTCGTTTCAGACTTTCAATTTTTTTTTGCAGTGCCGGGGGGTGATGAAGTTGTATAAACTACTGTAGGGGGCGATGGTACAAAAAGTTTGGAAACCACTGGTTCAGACTACTTAGCTCATTTTTTTTAAATATTTAACTAATCATCCAAACCTCCCATTGTACCGGTGGTCTTCCCAACAAACCTATGGCCATCAGATCGACCACTTACTATTGGAGGCTTGAAATCGGTGGTCGCGCACTGTTCGTTCGATAGCAGATTCGTCTTCCGAGAATCGTACTTTGGTGGCTTGTATAACCTTAACCCCTGTTCGCAGAAAGTTAATTTGAGCTGCAGCGTGTAGACAAAAATTT